TCTTACAGTATTCAATCAGTAATCCCTCAGTCCAGGTATGTTTCTTTCCACTCGCCTCCTTAAACCATCAGTAATCTACTTGGGCACCTGGAAGCCCATCTCCTGTCTACCCTCCTCTCTCTGTCCTTTTCCACTCTTCATTCCCTGGAGTCCAAGACTCTTCCTGTTTTAGCCAGGAACTTAATTTGCATCTTCCGAACTAGAAAAACTAGGTTCATGATTAAATCCTTTTCCTCAAGGATTGGGCTATGACCCACCTGTAGCCTTAACTACGTATGGCTCTGTACTGCCTGTTCCAGGAAACAGCAACCCTGCCTTTGTTTCAAAGGTTATGACTACCTTGTTATGCTGCTCCTATAATTTCCCCACCCCAATTTGCCTGTCAAATCCCCCATTTGAAAATCCCCTACTCCTGAGCTATAAAACAAAACAAAACAACAACAACAAAAAACCTTATCTTGCTGGGCAGTGGTGGCACACACCTTTAATCCCAGTACTTGGGAGTCAGAGATAGGTGGATCTGTGTGAGTTTGAAGCCATCCTGGTCTACGGAGTGAGTGCCAGGACAGGCTCCAAAGCTACACAGAGAAACCCTGTCTCAAAAAACGAAGGGGGGGGGACAAAACTTATCTTGCCCATGTCCAATGTTGACCTCTTGAACCTTGCCTTATAGGGAGGCAGCCTGTAGACAGGAATTTTAAGAAGCTTGCTTTAATTGATTGCTTGTTTTAATTAATTTGGCCATGATGATTTGGGTCAGTGGTCTTTCCCCCGAATTTTTGGGATTAACATCCCTTCCCTTCCTTTAATTAAATGGCTTGCTTCCCAAGGAATAGTTTTTCATTATGCTCAAGAGCTTTCTTCCACCAGGAGTGAAGATGGGAAGGGGTAGAAACTGAAGGAAGCCTGCATCCCCCTTTCCCTGCACTGCTCAATGAGGGTTCTTCAGTTTGTATATTCTCAAGTGGCACACATTCTATAAATTAGCATTAGCACTTGCTCCTGTCTCAGTGCCTCAAATTTTGGCAAGCAGCTTCATTTGTGTAGGCTGTGTTCTCTCTGATATTCACATTCTCAGGCATGGGGCAGGTGGGGACTGTCCCTTTGCCTCTTCTCTCATTAGCTATTCCATCAACTCCCCCTGGCTAATCACCATGCTCACCTTCTTGAAGCCCCTATGAGCCTAGAGTTGTAGGAGTTTCTGTAAAAACTGTGTAAATACCTCCTACTTTCTTTCCACTCCCCAACTCTGAGGATGCTGAACAATTTGTTGGCATTCTTGGTGGACTGTAACAATGAGTAAAGTGCTATCTGAAGAGTCAAGCTACAGGGATCTTCATGTCTCCTTGTTGGAGCATGACTCAGCCCTCAGAGACTTCCCTTTTCAATGTTTTCATATACATTTTTTAAACCTGAATATATTACCTGGACCTCTTCCACATAAAAAGTCATTCTGTGCCCACTCAGAGAGTTATAAGTGCTTCCTGAAGTCTGTCCCATCCACTTGATCCTTCTCATCCAGGAAGAAGTAAATATCATTCCCAAACAGAAGGGTTATGAAAAATGACATCATTGGCAAACATTGCTGAGGTTCAGTCTTGGTGTTGCTTCGGAATTGCTTCAAATTTGAACTAAGCTAATGACTGATGACTCAGTACAGTTCCCACTCATTTACTGCAAAGGCTTGGTTGTCATCCTCTTCCTGGACTCTTCACACTGTGGCCATGCTTGGTAGTAACCCCTGGTCTTGAACATTACCTATGGGGCCCTGGTAGGCATTGTAGAGAGCCACTGTCTACTTTGCAACAGTTTGTGAGGGACCCCTATGGAGTGGTGGTACAAGTTTGGGCATTAACATCAGGTCAGCCTGGTCAACTGACTCTTTGATGTCCTGCCCACTGTCTCTGTCTTCCATAAAGGAATCTCATCTCATTAAGCATCAGTTTCCTCAGCTTCAGACTGAGGAGACCAATGATACCAAATCACAGATTATTGTAAGAAGTAAATGAAATCATATATTTAAAATATTAAGTGTAGTACCTGTCGACATCCAGTCTGTATTACCCCCATGCTACAGGAGCCATCTACTCTGGACTGATGACGGTGGGGATGAGATCAGAACCAATCGAACAGCCCCAGGTCTGACCCTGAGTGGAGGAGTGTGGACACAGGAAGGCCAAGATACACAATGATGTTAAAAAGATGAGACAGAGACATCTGGTCATATCAGGAGGGCTCCCAGTCAATACTGAAGGCCATGATTCATTGAACCACCATCTTAAGTAACCATCCACACCAGCATGTCTTACTAGCCCTCAGGGTGGGTATAGACTTGCCCTGGCCCAAGTCTTTTGTTATACAAAAATAGGAGCCATTCCCCACTGAGTCCAGACCATCCAGGGGGTAATCAGCAGACATCTAAAAGACAATAGAAGGTCTGAACTCTTAGAATTCATGGCCCAGTGGAAATAGTTCTAGAATATTATGTGGGCCTCAACAAGTACCCAGGCCACATCTGCTTAATTCATGTCATTATCATTAATTCAGTTTTGTGGTGTGTGTGTGTGTGTGTGTGCTCCTCTGTGTACAGGTTGTATATATGGGTACATGTGTAAGTGTTGTAGATATATGTGGAAGCCAGAGGATAAGCTCAGCTTTCCTCAGTAGCTGCCCATCTTGTTTTTTTTTAAGACAGTATCTCTCTCACTAGTCTGCACCTGGCTGAGTAGGTGAGGTAGACTGGTGACATCAGCCTCTGTTGTGCTGGTCTCAGGTCTGTAATCATGTGCCACTGGCTGGGCGCAGTAGCTTATGCCTTAAATCCAAGCTTGCAGGAAGCACAGGCAGAGGCAGATAGATTTCTATAAGTGTAAGATCATCCTGGTCTACATGTCAAGTTCCATTCTAGCCAGGGCTTCATATGGAAACCCTGTGTCAAAACAAAACAAAACATCAACCAAACCAAAAGAAAAACAAGTATATGCCACCATATTTGGCTGCTTTTTTTTTTTTTTGGTGGAATGTGGAATCCAAACTCAGGCTCTCATGTGTGCCTAGCAAGTACTTTATTGAATGAGCTATCTTCACAATCTGATTTATTAATACTTTTGCTTTGGAGACAGTCTTGTTATGCCACCTATCCTGGCTCCAAGTTCATAATCTTTCTGCCTCAGCATCCCAAGTGCTGGTGTTATAGAGTATGCTATCAGTTACAGTCATATTATTGATTTTTAAATTGTCTAACCCTAAGAGAACTTACATGGCCTGAGTACCCTTGTCTGAATCTTACTATCTCTCTCTAAAGAGCACAGGTGAGATAGTCTCCCTAGAACTTGCTTGTATAACATCTGTGTCCTTATCATACACTTCCTCTGAGCCATTTCATACAAATACTACAGGAAGAGGTAGCTCCAAATTCACTTCTAATTTCTATAGACCAGATGTGAGAGCTAAGGGAAGGTCTCTTTCCTGGGCACTAAAGAGTCGGTGCTTCTATTTCAGCTCTGTGGGAGGACAGGGATTATTTTTTCTTAGAGGTTACCAGTTAAGAGCTGTAGAAGTATGTGGCCCTGTTTTCAGCTTTACCCAAGTACCTAGAGAAAGGGTGGATGATGCAGCAGTAGAAGACAGCTATGGGCATCCAGGCCAGGGATTTTCAAAGTGAGTGACATGGGATCAATTCTAAAAGGGACATTGCATCCAAACTATCACCCATGGCTAGCACTCTTGCCGATTAAGCAATCTTCCCAACCTGAGTGTTTGTTCATGCTGCCTTGTTGTGGAGACAGTCTGTAGTCCTAAATTGCTGCTGCTCCAGAAAGTGCTTAAGCTGCAAGGCAGCTTCTGGGGAAGGGCTTTGGCTACTCCTCCTGTGGCTGACTCCTCCGTTCACAAGGCACTGCAGGTGCCTTGCCACTATAGGTCTAGAATGGCAGGTCAGCTAGCTCAAGGCTGAGCCTGGTCTGTGCCCTGGTCTGAATTCCCTCACTTGACCCTTACATTCTTAGTTGTTGTGTCTAAAAAAATGGAGAGGATGATTCCTAGCTCAAAAAGTCTCTGTGCTGTAACTGTCATGTAACAGGACTAAAGGATGGAGCAGGGTTTTGCACCATGAAAACTACAGAATCCCAGGCTCCCTTCTTCCCGCCCCCACCCTCACAGCCTCACCACACATCTATCCACTAAACAGCCAATTCTCAAACCCTTCCTTTTTTAACAGAAAAAATGCTTTGCCCTCCATAAAACATTAGCAAATAGTGATGGATTTGGGGATTTTCAAGGAAGAATGGTGTATGAGCATGTAGAGTGTGCTCATTTGCTTTGTAGATAGATTGTAATGACTTTCCACCACAAAACTCACTTGAGGTTCTGCTAAATAAAGAGCTAATGCCACTTTACTCTTTTCTCTCAACCCTTTTTTGCTCATGCAAATCAGAAACATCCATCCTCAGTGGCTCCCTGGCCTTTTGGATATGGGAAACCCATAGCGCAGCTTTTTTCCCCTCCCTGAAAATAACATAATTGTCAAGTACTCGTAACTTCTGAGTGCAATTTCAACCCTCTCATTGATAAGGCAATAACCCAAGCAAACAATATCAGATGAAGTTACAAGCCTGAATGTGGGGATAGAGGCATCATTCGAATGAAATGAATTGAAGTTCTCCATAAAGTTGCACAAATTCTTACCAGCAGAATAGACTTTGGATAGAGCTATTAGACTGAGCCATTAAGCTGCCTGGTTACTAGTTCATCTTCCAGAGAGCCTGGGCACAGACTTGCTCACAGTGTTCAGACTTCTCAGATATGGCTCCCCATGATAGAAAACCAACTCAGTTGTGGTCAACTCAGGCTGTTCATGTCTCACTCCTCTTTTGCTTATGTGTCTACTGAGTATCATGAAACTCTATTATGAACTTCATTTGTGACTGATATTGAAAGACAACTGGAAGATCTATTCTGAGCACAAGGGTCAGTGTTCTCTCTTTTGTTTTTGTGTTCAGGTCGTAGTTCCTTGGAGTCACCCTCAGGAATGCCTTCTCCTCCTGATAACTTTGTATGGAATCTCACCTGGACAATGAAAGACTCTTTCCCTTTCCTGTCCCACCGCAGCCGATATGGTAAGTGTATTTTTGACAATTATCCAGGGCGCACCATCACTGCCTTTTAATTAAGGAGGCTCTGAGATTCCAATTGTGATCACCAGTGATCCAGGAGTACCTCAGTCCCCTATAGCAAAACATATATTGCTCTACTGAGCAAGGTTGCTCAAGAACACCACCAGACCATCTAGCTAAGATGTTTATGTTGCACTGTGAGTCCTGGAGGAAGCCAAGGGCTTTCTGGCTTACATAGTCCGTCCTCCAAGCCTTCCTGGTACACAGAATCCTGGTATCACTCCACCATTCCTTCAATGTAACCCTCATTTGTATTTGATTATAGCTTTTTGGATTTAAAGTTCTTGCCTTTAATATTTCTAAAGACCATGATCTTTTAATAGTGGATTGTTATTAGGGAAGGCACAGGTCTTCCAGGGCCCCTTCAGTGACTCCATTATATTTGGCTAACTTCTGTTCTCAAACAGGTTATTTGGTGTTGTCTCTGCACATTTGATTGTGCAACAGCCTCAAAAGGTCAAGAGAACTGGTCCAATTCCAGTTTGTGCAGGTGCAGAAATTAATCATAACAGTGTCCCATAGAGTGGGGCCACTAGCCACAAATAGGTAGTTCTGTTTCCCCCAGGAGGCCGCCAACTCCACTTGTGAGCTGCAGTCCTATCAGCCCTCAGGAATTATGTTGACTCATTCTCAGTGTTCAGCCTAAAAGCTCACAGTAGCAGGGGCACTGCCATTGGAACATCAGAGTTAGAGGAGAGGTGAGACTTTCCCAAGGAACACCTTCATTTCTTCAGCTCTTTTGGTGTCAACCCCTCAAAGACAGATAATATGCCGTGTTTGCACCCCTATTTTACTTCTTCCCTGGAAGACACTGCTAGAGGCTTATGTATGATAAATGAATGCAGAAGGCTTCCAGATATAGAATTCTCTCATCAGACCTAATTCAATTAAGTATTTATGAATCCAGTACAGCGCTGAGTTCTAGATGCCCTTCTGGGCATATTTACCTATTCCTGCTTCTTAGTCTCTGCCCTTGGGCCTAACCTATTTAAAGTACACCTAACAGAGATGTTCCACTCACTGTAGAAAAGCTTCAGTCGGAAGCCTGCCATCCCTCATCTGTTACACAGTTAGTCTTGGCTTGTATTAATGGCACCTTTCATTTCAAATTGAAAGAAAGAAATGCATATAAACCCCTTGGGCAGTTTAGAATTCTACTCTGAGCTGAGTTGTTGCTTGTTACTCCTAAGTATCCCTAGAGGGAGGGAAGGCTTGGTGGTTCTTTGGGAGGTTCCACATAAGAGTTGCTTCTTGATTTTAATTAGAGTATATGAATGCATCTTATGATAAGACCAAGTACCTATAAACAATTGAAAGCTGGTCTTTTGTGTGGTTGACATTTTGTCACCAGATATGTAGTACAGCTGGTCTTCAGATAACACTTGGAGTTCTCACTCAGAGGCATTCATTTTCTCTGTAGTACACTTGGAGTTCTCAGAGGCATTCATCTTCTCTGTAGTACAACTTTTATTTTTAATTAATTTTTATTTAAATTTAAAACAAGCTTATTTTACATACCAATCCCAGTTTTCTCTCCCTCCTATCTTCCTCCCCTCCACCCCCAACCATCCCCTCATTCTACCCCCCATCCACTCCTCAGGGAGGGTGAGGCCTCTCATGGGGGAATCATAAAAGTCTGACGCATCATTTGGGGCAGGACCTAGGCCCTTCCCTGTGTATCTAGGCTGAGAGAGTATCCCTCCATAGGGAATGGGCTCCCGAAGTCCATTTGTGTACTAGGGATAAATCCACTGACAAAGGCCCCATAGACTACTCAAGCCCCCCAATTGACACCCACTTTCAGGGGGCCTGGTTCTATTCTATGTTGCTGGTTCCCTAGCTGTCTGGGGTCCATGAGCTTCTGCTTGCTCAGGTCAACTATTTCTGTGGGTTTCCCCAGCATGGTCTTGACCCCTTTGTTCATCACTCCTCCCTCTCTACAACTGGATTCCAGGAGTTCGGCTCAGTGTTTAGCTGTAAGTGTCTGCTTCTGCTTCCATCATGTACTGAATGAAGACTATAGGATGGCATATAAGGTAGTCATCAATCTCACTATAGGGGAAGGGCATTTAAGGTAGCCTCTCCACTATTGCTTAGATTCTTAGCCAGGGCTGTCCTTGTGAATTCCTGGAGATTTTCCTCATGCCAGATTTCTCATTAAGCCCATAATGGCACCCTCTATTAAAGTATTTCTTTCCTTGCTCTCCTTCTCTGTTCTTCCCCCAACTTGACCTTCCTGATCCCTCCCCTTCTCCCCTCCTTACTTTCCCCTCCCCTTCTCCTCCCTCTTTCTCCTACCCGCCCCACCCCGCTCCCGTGCTCCCAATTTGCTCAGGAGATCTTATTCCTTTCCCCTTCTCATGGGTCCATGTATGTCTCTCTTAGGAGTAGGACAACTTTTATAAAGTTTAGAATGTCAAAAGTTTAGTTCCTGCATATCATAGACAGCAACTATTGGTTCCCTATGGAGGCCATTGATGAAGGTTACAGATCAAAGGGAGAAAATCATGGGAATTTATGAGGACCCTATTACCTACCACTTTTACTTGGTAGACCCACTTCCTCTCTTTGAGCCCCACCTTCCTTACCAGTAAATTGGAAGACTGGGATAACTGGGGCAAAAAGTAGATCAAGCTGTTTCCTAAGATACCTTTCAAACTGTTCTCATGGTCTAGAAACTCATGATTTCCCTTCTTTGTTGAGCAGACTCAAACCATTGATCAGTTAGTGTCCAAATATGGGGCCAAGGTGTCAACATCAACACCATCATTACTGTTGGTTCATGACAGAAGCGTTGACAGCTCCTTGATGAAGTATAGTAATGCTTTCCAATCCTTCCTTTTTGCCGTATTTAATTCTGTGGGACTCATGGAAACTGCAAAATCACCATCAGCACTTCCATGTCCACATCTGTGTGGCTAGCCCCATGCTAGATGCTGGAGCTGATGCAAACTCAAAAATCAGTTAGATGGGGTCCTGGCCTCTCTTAGTTCATAGGCCAGATAAATAATTCTGTAGTCAGCTTATCCATCCTATTGTCAGTGAGTGACACTGAGGATTCACCCTGAGACCTGTCATAGAGAAAACTAGTAGTAGAATTAGGGCCAGACTCCTATCTCCTAAGGGTGTTTTGTGGGGTCTCAGCCTACATGTCTATGAATCAAAAAGGCCAGCAGGCTCGTGGGTGATAAATCCACACCTTTCATCTGCCAGGAAAGACATTTTAAGAAATGTTAACAACTTCATTAATTTTAAGTCCTCAAACAGGGGCAGAGAAATTTGACTGGAAAATTGCCACCTGAAGGAATAGTTCTTCAGACTGTGGGACATCATGGAGTCTTGACCAGTATAGTGTGGAACTTCACATTTGGTTGACTGGCTTAAGCTATATCCCGGTGGACAGGTGGGGGCAGTGAGAGCAGCATCAACAAGCCACCCATGGGTGACGTGATTTACAGAGACAGGCCAGTCCTCTCTCAGGCTAGCTGTCCACCCTGAATGGAGAGTAGCTTTCTTCTTGCTAGTGTTTTATGAGAAAAGACAAGGTAGAAAGAGGCTAATAAGATTTACTCACCCCCAGCCTGTAATTATCTGCTTGAGGAAAAAGTTTGACCTACCTTTTTGAAGGCTCCCAATATTTCTTCTAATTTACGCCAGGGCCTTTTGTGTTGTATAAAATATATTCTCTTCAGTGGCATTCAGTATCAGATTCCAGCTCTCTCTGGCCTCTGTCTTGAATGACGATAGCCTGCTAATCTCATCATGGGAGCTGAGAGCTGCACATTCCTCTCCCAGGCTTTGAAACAGAGAGGACATATGAAGACAGATTTTCCTCACCAAATTTCCTTTTATCATTGGCTCTCATGCCTGTGGACTTAGTTATGTGCTTGGCTGAAGGATTAGGCTCTGAGTAGGTACTCATAGACAAATGTCCTCCATTAGATCCCATGGGATGCTTCAAGAATACAGCTGCTGGGTTTGTGAAAGGGAGCTTGATTACCTTGGGTAAGAGAGCCACAGAGACAGATGGTGTTCTCCCTAACTTTAACTCTCGTGTTTGCCCACTCTGGAGATGAGGAATCAGATCAGTATTTTATTATTATTTTGAATGCATGTTTGTGTGCACTGGTGTGCTTGTGTATATGTGTAAATGCATGTGTGTGAATGTCAGAGGACAACCTTGGATGTCATACTTATAAACACTGTCCACCTCTTTTGAAATAGGCTCTCTCATTGGTCTGAATCTCATCAGTTAGACTAGACTGGTTGGCCACTGGGTCCCAATAACTCTTCTGTCACCACCTCCCCAGCATTGGGATTCTATGCATGAGCTTTCATGTGGGCATTTCACTCAGGTTCTCATACTTGCAGGGTAAGCACCCTATTAACTGAGATACACCCCTAGCGCCTGGATCAATATTTTAAACAGAATAACCATGGATTCTTCCCCAGGTGACAAAGACAAAGGATATTTTCATTTTTTTGTTTTTTTTTAAACTGTAGTACTTTAGAAAACTTTCCCATGCATTTTTCTCATTTAAGTGGCATTATGAAATTGTAGTTGGAGGAAATTATTTTAAGTTCCATGTTTACATGAATGTCAATGGAAGGTGGAAGGAGTTTATTATTAGGGCTTTTAAGCCACAGAGTGGGTGAACTCAAAAAGCCCAGATTCTCTCACTTCATGCTGATATCACAATACCTAGCATTGGAGATGAATGATCAGGCTGATGTCTAAATTCTTGACTATCTCTAGAACAAGCATTTGATGTCTCTGGGTTGAGACCAATCCTGGCAGGCTAGGCAAGGAGCCTTCCAAGAAGCATGTAGGTTGAGCCACTTGGCACTGTAAACAATCTTATATACTCATGCAATTTTCCATTTTAGACTGTGGTCTTTATTATGGGTTGCACAGTATATTTGTAGTTGTATCAAGTTAAAAT